AATAGGATAAAAATACTTGTTTTTAACATTTTTTTTCAATACGTTTCTACTAATAAAACTTGCATCTCGTTTGGCTCCGAAGAGGAATAAATGAGAAATAAGTTTACAATATTTTAAATGCCATGATAATTTAACACAGAAAAGTTCAATTATGCCAAAGAAAAATGTTAATAAATAAAATTAAATACAATTTTTGACAGAAATTAAATTTTAGATTTTTTAATATAAACTTTTATCTTTTTTCAGGAAACTTCAAATAAAAGTTTTATTTTTTTAAGTAAATAAAGATGAAAATCTGTTTCAGAAGCTACACAATTTTAAGAAATACATGAATTTCCATGGAAACAAATAAGTTTCATAAAAAGAATGTTTACTTTTTTTAAGTTTCAGTTAATGAAAAGTTATTTCTGTTTATATAATATGTTATGTAAACAAAAATAAATATTTTTCAATAATCAAGACAAAAATGATTTTATGGATTAAAACTATTATAAAAACAAATTGTTGTAATTTAACTGCCTCATCACAGGGACAATTTGTGACAAGGTCAATATTTTATGTGAAGAAATCAAATGTGATATTGGCAGGAATTCCATACATTCATTTTTTTTTTCTTTTCTATAAATTAAAAAAAAATTAAAAAATTGTCTTAAAAGAGAGCCTGGCTGAACAACAATATGAATTCATTTTGTGTTTATATTATTATATTACATACTTTTGATTATAATTATTAAATTAATAATTTATAATATTAAATGGGTGAATTAACAATGTTTAAAAAGAAATTAAAAAATAAAAATTTTATTTTGAACTGAACCAGACTTTAAACTAGTGAGCTTCAAGGAACTAACAAACGTTCAAAAAGCGAGTAGAAACTTGCACTTTTTTTTTTTTTTTTTTTACACAAGTAAAATAAATTTACATCATGCTATACTTGGGGGTTATTATAATCTATAGATTTTAGCTTTACTGATAGTTTAAAATCAATAAATATTTATATCTTTTTATCATTAGTATCAAGAATGGAAAATTAAGTTTTAAAAAAAAAAAAACTAAAAACAAAGAACCGCTTTTGGAAATGGAAATTAGGTTAAAAATTCTCACAAGGCCAAATTTAATGTGGGGTATCAGAGCCCATATGTTTGGACAAAATTTCCCCATATAAAATGGGGTTGGGGAACTGTTTCCCCGAAATGGGATTCTGCCCTTCAACATAGCCTCATTTGGAGATCCTCTCTGCCTGGAGGCAAAGAGTTTGACCAGCACAGCAGGAGACAAATCTCCAACTATAGACTAATTCCCAAAGAAAGGATATTTACCTTACCTCCCCAAGAGGCGGGATGTGGCACAAGGCCATTTTAATGCTGGGCAAAACCGAGTCTATAGGCTTGGGCAAAAATTCCCCGTTGACCCCATTTACACGGGGTTGGGTAGCTGTCTACCACCCCTGATGAGACTGTCCTTCGGCATAGCCTTGTCTGGGTTCCTCTTTACCCAAAGGCTGAGAGTTTGACCAGCTCAGCTGGACACAAATCTCCAACTAATTGCCGAAGCAAGCTCCCAAGTATATCCTGTGCTCACTATATATATACCTACTGATATAGTCAGTCCACATAAGAAATAGGGAGTGTGGGACATTCCATTACAACAATTTTCTTTCTTTTGTAGCTCTTAGTAAATTAAGTCTTTTCACTATATCTCCTAATCCCTGTTCTGTTAGTGATTTACTAAAGTTTGCAAGGTAGGTTTATTTGCTACTTTCCTCTGTCCCTCTCTCCTTCAATGTCCTGTGAGTGTCAAATTTTCAAAGCCCTCTTTCCTTATTATGCACTCTAGAAATTTCAACTCTAAGTGTCTGTTTTGTTTCCATTTTTCCTAAAACTTCATTGCTGATATGTTTGATCCATGGTATTCTCAGTATCCTTCTGGAGAACCATATTTCTGTTGCTTCAATCTCCTCTTCATCTTTAATTCCCTGCCATCTAGGAGAACCAATATTACATAACAGTTCAATAAAATCCAAGACAGATAAGTCTGACCATATTTTTTACTTATTCAAGTAAGCATCAGGAAGTCTTAAAGTAAATAGCAACGGAAAGAAGACATATTCAGAATCAGAAAAAGACAGCCAAAATTCCTTGGACACATAATGAGGAACGAAGGCTTAGAAAGCATAATCCTAACAAGGCATATTGAGAGAGAGAGAGAGAGAGAAAAAAAAAAAAAAAAAAAAACACTTATCTGATGATCTTGTGTGAATGGATGGTGGAGTGGGAACTTTAGCAAAAGGAGAGAGCCACATGAAATAGAAAGCTGTGGAGAGCCATGATCGCCTGTGTCCAAACAAGATGCAGTACATAGAAGAAGTCCCAAATCTTGTATTATGTTTGTACTTACTTCAAGAAGAAAATGGTAGAAATAATATTCTACTTCAGATACATGACCAAAAACAGGAAAAGCATATGAAACTAGTTCAAAAGAATTAAGGGACATGTAAGGAAAAATAATCAGTGTTTGGTATGCAGAAATTGTTTGAAACGCTAAACTTAATACCCAATACATAAAAAAAAACGTACAAATTAAATTAAAACAACATGCTCCTGACTATATACTTAAAATAGCTAATGAAATGTTTTACTTTTATTTTTAGATATTTTTTAAACTGGTTTCATTAAACTTGATAAATTTGCTTTGTACTTTGTTGTAACTGTGTTATATTCCGTGCTAATAGGAATATATACTTAAACAACATAGTGGATAAATAAGTAAAGGTTTACTGCAAAACCAGTACAATAAAAAATAAGGTAAAAGATATGTGCACGATCGTCGCAAGTCTATCCAGTAGTGAGTACTGTATTGGAAGATCGGTAGTTCTCGCATAAGTCCAAGTTGTACTCAACAGATCCCAGCTAGTCTCTCATAGTCCGTTGCTTTACGGATACTTATAGGCAGTTACTACCTATAGTGTAGTCACTCATGAGGGTGATAGGTTATTCCATTACATGCAGAGAGTAATTACTCTCACTGTAGCTATGAACCATAAGTAACGTACTTGATACATTTGTGTCAAATGGATAGAGTAGTGATTTTCAAACCTTGATCTCCTTTTGCATCACACTGGTGAACCGGGAGAGGATCATGGATATGCCACTAACATTTTCAAGTCATTAATTAAATTATTTTCAAAAGATGTCCAAAGCACAATAAGCGTACATATCAAATTTAACTCCTTCCACATTTTTTGAGTTATTTCATCCCAAGCAAGGCAATAAAGCCACTAACACGTAAGGCTTACAGAGTGTGAAAGAATACAAGAAAAACATTATAAGGAGAAAAAACAACAACAGAATTTAAGAGAAAAGAAAATAACAGTGGAAATTACATTAAAATTTTTGAAGATCAAACTTGACTGGAAAACTCAGAAGAGTTCAACAAGCAAAAAAAGGAAGTGTTAGCATAGAACATATGATTACATCTAGCTATTTCAACTGTAAAATGAGAAGACCTTGCCGCCAATCTAGTATTGCACTTAAATTCATAGAGTTTAGGTACCATAGAGAAAAGTTCATCAGAACATTTACGATATAAGTATTTATAGACAAGACACACAGAAGATACATTATGCTGGTGGGAAAGTTACTGAAGCCAAGTTGCTAGGTCAGGACCAATAACATTGCACATTAATGTTTGAACAGGGTCAATGCCCTGTTGCAATTCCACAAGTGAGAAGTGCAATAGAAGAAACTGTTAACATAGAACTTACGGTTATATCTAACCATTTCAACTGTAAAATGAGGAGATCTTGCCACCAAAGTAAGTATTTATAGAAATGTCACAGGAACGTTACATTAAGCTGTGTGAAAGTGTCTAAAGTCGAGATACCAAAAACTGGTTATACAAGTATATCATTGTTATAGTAAATAAATATATACATAATTTTATGATATAAAATGCTAGTTTTTTTTTTGCAACAAATAATATTAAGAACAAAAATCGATCATGACTAGAATCCTTAGAAGATTTAAGACTATACCCATTCAAATTTCTACTTTGCAAGAGATATTCTATAAAAAAAAAAAAAAAAAATGCAAAGCTCAAATATTTCATTAAATGTTAAATTATAATAAACAAAATATATAAATGTAAGTTTTTTTTTTTAAATTTTAATGATTGTTTTTTTTTTTAATTTTAATATTACAAATAAAAAACAATACTAAAAGGGTATTTTCCAGAAATCCCTTGACTTGACAGAGAAAAAAGGATGAGTTCTTCAGATCAATGAAATAGAAGACGAGCATTATGGATGATAGTGGTAGTGACTCAGACACCAAAGATGAAATGAGACCAGGATCTCCATTAAAAAGAACACAACATAAGCCTTAAAGAAGAGAGGAGAAAAAAGGTTGTAGAAGAAGTTCAAGAACAACCAAAGGCATTAAACCTCTTCAGGTCAGGAAGTTGTAGTGGATTGGTAAATAGGATTGTACCAATTTGCACATGTTAAATAGAAGAGATAGTAAACCAAGAGACAAGCAAGAAGTTGACACCTGATCACGTGTCATAGAACAACACAATACAACAATATAACAAATTATTTGTGTTAATAAATTAATCATAAAAAGTAAACTTTTTTTTTTTTTACTTTTTTTATCATCATAAGTCTGCCATGAAAGTTTAACTATAGGCTCAAGTGTGCCATGCGACTAAAAAAAGTTGAAAAACATTGGAATAGGTTATTGGTGGATTCGTTTTTTACAGGTCAACCATTTTTTGGAGGTTATTTAAAGCCAGAAAAATTTCTGTAGATGATTGCAAGAATTTTTTTTTTTTTTTTTAGAGGATTAGTAATACAAGTCTTACTAATGGTTTACTGATTAGAGTATTTAACCCATAGCCGAGGGTTGGGAGAAAAGTGGACTCATATCTTCCCCAAGAGTATTTGTACCTCTAAGTGAATATAAACTGGACACATTACCCATTACACCATCCATACTTCTACGCTTACAGCACCTGGTATTCCCAAGCAGTCACTCATCTAGGTACTGACCAGGCTCAACGTTGCTTAACTTTGCTGATCGCACAGAAACCAGTGTCTCAATGTGATGTAGCTGTAATGCTTTGGGATAGCGGAAAACGTACCACAAAAAAGAAATGAGGGAGATGTTATAAAAGCTGTAGACAGCCATGATCGCCAATTCTTAAAGAGGCATGACGCAGAGTGAAAGAGAAAATACAACCAAATCGTCTTTTACTTTCACTTTCTGTAATAAAATATATCGTGAAAGAAAAGCCTTTAAGCTTCGTGTTGTCTGTTTTCTTTTAAGACTTTAAATTAGACAAATCTTTATTATCTAAAAAAAAATTTTAAAAAATAAAAACGAGGGTCAATTCAGTTCATAAAGAGAACTGAAGAACCCCACCGACTAATTTTTTCGGCCAGGTTTCAGTAGACGAATATCATTATTCAAGTGTAGCAGAAAATATGTCAGATCACGTGTCTACGTTGCCAAATGTGGCTTTGCTCACAAGTGAACCATTTATTTTTTTTCTACTTATAAACTATTTCCAGATCTTATAAAGAATTGATTTCAAACACCAAATTAAAAATATCCATCTTCTGTAAGTTAAAAATAAACATAAATAAAAATAAACAAGGAAAAATGCTGTCCTGTCAAATAACTGTTTTTAACGTTCAATATTAATTACTTGCAAACGTTAGTGATTTACTAAGCGAAGCCTAGAGGTATCACAAAGGCCTTGTGACAAGGCCGAAAGCTTGGAACACCTAGTCAGGATAAAAATCACGACTTGGGAGAAATTGATCTGGGGAGACAAGCTTGCTAGCCATTTATTTTAACATCACAGAGAAGTGAACTAAAAAAACGTTAGTGGATATTTATTTCGTATTTGAAATAGATCTCCCATTTTTTAATTAAACAGTATTATTATTACGTCTATCGGCCTCTCTGCGAATTCAAGAAATAAAGAAGCAATGCGTTTCCCAACAGATGGAATATTCAGTATTATTATTCACCATTTCAAACGTTATGTTTGAATCTTTGTAGTAATAAAAATATCGGATTAAATAAAAATAAATCCATTTAATTCTTTACAGGGTGAGGCAGAAATACCTCCCACATATATCTTCCTCTCACAGATAAAAATAAAATGGTAAGAAGACATTTTTTTAGCTAGATGAATACACGTCCATTGCCACTAAAAATGTCTTACCATTGGCATTTATTATAAGTTAAGTAAGAAGAGATATTTCTGTCGTACGGTGTATATTTTGTTGTCAGCAACATTTTTAGAGCTAATTTTAAAGGTCGTAAGGTTGGGGAGGGTCTTTCTTTTTATGTTGACAAATATAGCGAACATTTTTTTAATTTAAAATCTTTCTTTATAAACATCCTGCTCTTGTTTGAACACAAACCCTAAGCGCAGAGGTATGTCGTTTTTTGTTGTTGTTTTGTTTTTTTTGTTTTTTATTATTATTTTTTTATTTATTTATTTTTGTCAGCTGACAAGACCCGATAAAGACTGGGAGGAAAGACTGGATTTATAAGTTAATCCACAATATGATCTGAAACAAGTATTGAACAGGTGGTGGCATCTGACATAGTAGCAGCAGCAGCTGCTGTCATCCACGCAAAGCACGGCTTGATTGAAATGGCAGTTCCAATTCGAAAAGGGGGGTCCTCGTTTTCCTTTCGAAGCAACAACGTTCAGGGAGGGAATCTTTTCGTCCCTAACCTAGTTAAATACACAATAAATCTTTTATTAACATTTAAAAGTAAATAAATAAAGAGTGGATTTAGAGGTGGTGGAGGAGGGCGACACGTCTTAAAAATAGTTCCATCAACCAATCTAAGAAAATAGATACAAATTTTAAAATTTAGAAGATGTTTTTAAATACGAGCAAATGAGAGACGAACCTGAATTACAGTTTAATTTAACGATATAACCTCGTGCTTATTGCTATTTTTTCTTTTTCTCTGTTTAGATGAACTATAAAAGGAACAAAGATATACACACAAGGGAGATAGAAGCAAATAATAGTGGAAAAAAGAAAGCAGCCTACTGACTGAATGATGAAGACAACAGTAGTTGCAATCTCCTATTTATAAAGACAGTTGTTAATTATATGACGAGGCCTATTGCTTGTACTACTCTCACTTAGTATTGAATTGCAGACATTGATGCAATAGATTTAGTACTATTTTTGTTTTAGATCGATAAACAATATCGTCAAAGCTGTACAGGGAGAGTGGGTCGAGAAGAGAGGCAGGAGGGGAGAAAAGAGAGAGCGGGACAGAGAGAGTGGGGCAAGAGAGGAGAGATGGGGAGAGAGATGGTGGGATAGAGAGAAAAGAGAGATGGGGAATAGAGAGAAGAGAGAGCGGGGAAAGAGAAATAAAAGAAAAAGAGAATATGATCATTTAAAAAACTAACAGGATGATCAAAAAAGACGTAGAAAAGAAGATGAATAATGTGAACTTTATTCTCTAGCAAATTCACATCTAAACGGGTCATTTTGCAAAAACTATGTTTCTTTCTTTGGTATCAACAGTCTAAAAAAATCTATCTTGTTTTCAAACAGGCAGAGTAAACATGAACGTCCTTTTATAGCACATTTTCAAGTAGAAAAAGTAGCAAACAATGGTTTTCTTTTCATGCGAACAAGATTTGCCTTTTTTTTTTGGTTAGCAATAGAGATGAAAGTTTAAAAGTACGGGCCTTTTTTTTCTCTCCCAGACACCAAATTATCGAATTTTTAACGGATATATCATTTTTTTTTTTTTTTTGAGATTGACTAAGTAAGTTCATCCTTACATCTTTACTTTAAAAATGCCACATCTTGCCAGATGATAAAGAAGAATAAAAGATGGAAGACGGACACAGAAAATAATTTATTACTAACAATCCTTTTCTTTTGTGACCAAAGAGGAGACAAAGGAATGTATTTTTCCTCCATCCCCAGAGGTAAGGGAAGTAAACTGAGCAAATATGACATGCCGAGAGTAATTAAACCACTTATTGCAAGCAGCAATAATGTCTACTTTAGAGTTCCACGCGAATGTTCAGACGGGGCTGTTGTTACTGCTATGTTTCTGCAACTAAAATATAAATATATTTTCACAAGTATCAGTACACAGAATCACGAATCAATTTCTATATAAAAATCGTTCTGTAAATGATTTTCGTTTCTTCTTGGTTTATGAATGAATAAACACACCACCTTGAAAATGGGTAATGTACAAGTAGGAGAAACGGTGGAGTTATGGATAGCTGCTCGGATTGAGGAATCGGAGAGCGGAATTCGAATTCCAGTCGAATCCATTACATTCACTTAGGTGCTAATACCCTTGGGAAAGGCATGAATCCAACTCTTCTGGTCTGAAGAGGCACAGTGGAGTAATGGATTGCGGCTCGGATTGAGGAATCAGAGAGCCGAGTTCGAATTCCAGTCGAGTTCATTACATTCACTTACGTGAATACCCTTGGGAAAGGCATGAATCCACTCTTCTGGCCTGAAGAGGCACCGTGGAGTAATGTATTGCGGCTCGGATTAAGGAATCGGAGATCCTAGTTCGAATTCCAGTCGAATCCATTTACATTCACTTACTTGCTAATAAACATCCTCTTCTTCCCCGGTTCTATAGCCTTGGATGGCAACTGGTCTACCGCAGACAGAAATGGCAACCTACTGCGGGAAAAAAATATGTCTCGTCAGTCATGTATCGCAAGATACATAATTGCCTAAGCGTGTATCAAGCATGGCTTATAACTGACTGAAAGAAGTAGCCGAAAGCAATCCTGTACTTCTCTTATCAAAGGGAAAAATGTAAGAACAATGGAAAAACTAAATATAAAATTAATTAAAATTTCCTTGTCATATTTAATGAAAGATGTTTAAAAGAAATGTTGCTGCCCAAATACATATTATATCTTGAGTTAGTGGTCACTCGTATCAGAATATGTCTGTCTACTAGAGCGGCTAGTCATTCCTGTTGCTGACGCCTGCTCAGACATATTTGTGTTTTTATTCAACACCCACATTGTCCACTTGCAGTTTATATGCAACTATACTGAGCAGGCCTTAGTTACAGTTTTGGGGGAGATACTGCATTCTAGTGTGATTAACAGTGTCAACAAGGCCAGTACGCCCAAACCCTCGGTCATGATGACTTGTGACTTCGTGCTAGCACAACCATCAATGACTCCCAAATAGTTTCGTTCACCAATTTTCACTCACGAGGTTTGGGTCAATCCGTGGTATAGTTTTCACTCAGGCAATTCCCAAAAGTGCCGCAGGGTGGGATCATCACCTCAAGCCGCCGATAACATCAAGAAGTCACCTTCCTGATAAATCCACCATGATGAGATTTGAACCGGAGTCTCATGGTCGGCCACACACACACTATTCAAATCTCAAATATATATATAAAAACACACACACGACATTATGCAGAGTTGCTCTAAAAAAAAATAGTAATAAAAAAAAGGCACGTCCACGGTAATTTTTGCCTTCACTTTAAAAAAAAAAAAAAAAAAAAGAAAACATTTTTAAATTAAGAACGAAAAATGTTACGTTTTTCTTAATAAGGTCGTCCTGAGTATTTTCCAAGAAATAAATTTTACTCGAGTCCTATGCAGACGTATCTTCAAAGAGGTAGATGAAAGGAAAGGAATTTTTCAACAAATGTTACAAGTTTTTTCAAGCTTGCAACATGTTTACTGGAAATGAAATGAACATCTTGTGTGTGTGTGTGCGTATATATATATATATATATATATATACATACATACATACACACACATATATATACATACATACATACATACATACATACATTTCAAAACAACAATACTTAAATAATTAGACCGGTCCCCTCAAAAAGGAAAGAAAACTACATCTATATCAAAAAGTCAAGGGTCAGTTTGAGGTTGTATTTACATTGTAAAACAAGGCCACCCATTCCATCCAAAATGATTGAAAATTAAATGCTTTTCGATTTTGACAAATTGCCTGAGTAGATAGAGGAAGTTCTGAATGCTAGGCAACAAAAATTAGTCGTGAAAATATTTTTATTTAAAA